GAAACTAATTTGTTTGTGAAACATTTAATTGAATAGGCATGATATCTATCTCTTGTATAGGACTCTTTGATATGTTAACTTGAGTTCCTTGTATATGTATTATTAGTGTACCCCCATTGATACAATACAATCCTTTCAGTAATGTTTCTGAATGTGTACATTCTGAGAATGTAGCTCTTACTAACTCATTATTTGACATAACCTGTACACATACTTTGTCTTTTTCTATGGGAGTTACAATTTCATGAAGATTTTTAACTGTTTTAATTTTACCGGAACACGAACTTTGGTTATGAAAACATGAATGATAAATGGTTTCAACTTGGTTATTTAAACATATTATTTTGGATGCAAAATGTAGACAACTAGAAAGATCTACCTGCTCCAGTTCAGTAATGTTATTATAAGATACAAAATCGGGATATTGTAATTTATAAAATAATAATTGTGTGTTACTAATAGGAATTCCTAATACCGACATTGAAAATAGTGTTTTTTCAATACCAGAAATTGGTATTAAAGAAGAACATATACATATATCATTGTTACATCCCAACCATTTGCTAACCCATAAATCTGTATGATTTTTTGCGAACGCAAACTCCTCAGGTAAACTACGTTTGAGTTCTATAGGAGTAGTACCACCTTGTAATGCTTGTGCCATCACTTTAAAAATCCCAGAAGAAGTTTTGGCTACCTGGGATAAATCTGCATTTCTAATTAATGCCAAAGTAGCTTCCTGTAAATGTTGAACAGAGGGTGCAATAACAGAGGCTGTGTTTATAACCATATTTTTCAATATTTGATTTAAACCTCTTTGAATATGCAATCCTTTTCCCCCTATTAACCCTACAGTTCCCAAATCATTCTTTGATGTTTGACTATCCATAGAATTAGTAATACTTCCTATAGTACCAAATCCAGCCATAATTCCTTCTACTATATCTCTTTTTTTCCTGTTTGATACTTTAGTTCCTCCAAACCAATGTTCTAAGCCTCGTTCCATATTTAATAAATGTTCCTTAAATTGTGGAAATTTACTTGAGATTTTCCACTGAGAAACATTAAAATGCCAAACTATTGTTGCAAATTTCCCATCTAATAACAAAGGCTTTGAGTGAAAATGATTCAATTGAAAGGGACTTGATAACCTAAAAACCTTATTTTTGCATTCTGCCTTAACATCACCACATCTCTCATGATGATTTCTTAACATTATACAACTTTGATAGTTTCCACTATCACTCTAGATAGGATTGTCTAAATAGAAAACAAACATTTCTTCCAACCAATCCACCTTTCCTAGTACACCTCTGTGAATAACCTTTGGCATTGTATGTGACATACTACCCAAAAACATTCCTTCCCTTTTCCATGTCATTACAGACTCAGGGGGTAAACTTATATGTGTACTACATGTTAATCTAAGTCTTTCCTTTCCTTCCTGGATAGCTACAAGACTAGGCTTCATTATAATATCTTGCATAACATAATCAGTTACCAGAAACATCATGTTAGCTCTTACTGTCATGATTCCCTAGATGCTAGTATTTCACATATCCAAGGTATACCTGGAGTATTGGTTTTTAAGAGGAATTCTGGCTCTAAATTTATAAGCCAATATTGAATTGTATAAAGTACCTCACCACCTCGTCCTCGTGTTGTTACTGAAGTTTGTGCAACGTTCACATACATGTCACCTGACCAATTTACTATTTCCTCTGCTCAATTCCCCCTTTAATGGAAGTGTGGAATGCCAGAAAACAGTATGGCTGGCTCGCCAATGTAATAACTGGCTGTGTGTTTATTTAGTTGAATAAGTCTTTTATATATATATATTTCTTCTTGTGTCAGGCTTGCAAAATTAATATATGTCTATATTAATGAAAAGTACTAATACGCAATCTGATGTTATAACTTTATAAAAAATAGGCATTTATTCTACTTCAACAGCAAACAATATAAACACTTAACAGATGGAATTTCTTGACGACATTACAGAGAGTCGTCTTTGTATCAGCAACTCAGGACATCAGAGAGGAGAGCAAAATGGATTGTAGAAGGAAGAGCCCGTGATCCTTTGTCCTCTGCCCTTTATAGCCCAAATTACGTCATCACGTTTAGTTTAGACTCTGGCCATATAAGGAAATCCCCCATATAAAGACCACCCCAAATCTCTTTTATACAGCAAATTTCAGAGACCTCATGGTACAGAACAGCAAACGGTAATTTCAGTCTCATATCCATAGAACCTACAACCCCAGTTGGCACAATTTTGAGCCCACAGGGTATCCGGGATGTGAGCGTCTCTATAAGTATACGGACGGCAAGCTGGATATAGCTCCAAGCAGAAACCCAGCCCAGAAGAGGAAGATGTAATTAATTGTGCAGCGTGGGTCATCTGTGCATCAGGAGGGGTAAGTATTTTAGGCTGTCAGATGGCTTCAAATATGGCGTTTCTCCACTTCTCGCCCTCCAGGTCTGCTCGGCATTGCTATAGTCTCTACGCAGCAGCTATCTTGGTCACACCATGTGGTTCCCAAGATACCAGGCCTGTAATATTCTGTCTTTGAGTCTGGGTACTACAGTAGGGGTTTGGGTTATACATCTCTGATCAGGGGATCAGCAGATCTTAAAGGAGTCTGGTCTGGCTGTGAAAGGGCTGCTGTTTGGCAGCAGGTTTGACAGGGACCACTTCCTCCAAGCTTACAGACAGAGAGCCATGTGGGGAGGGAGAGGAGGAGGCAGCAAGTAGAATAGAAAGAGAGCATCGACCAGCCGCAGACTCCCATCAGACTGAGCCAGCACCTGCTGCAGCCAGATCCCACTTGAACCAGGGCAGCCACCCTCA